CTCACAGAGACTCAGGGTGTAGAGACTCACAGAGACTCGCAGAGACTCACAGAGACTCACAGAGACTCAGGGTGTAGAGACTCACAGAGACTCACAGAGACTCACAGAGACTCAGGGTGTAGAGACTCACAGAGACTCACAGAGACTCAGGGTGTAGAGACTCACAGAGACTCACAGAGACTCACAGAGACTCAGGGTCTAGAGACTCAGGGTGTAGAGACTCACAGAGACTCACAGAGACTCACAGAGACTCAGGGTCTAGAGACTCACAGAGACTCACAGAGACTCAGGGTGTAGAGACTCACAGAGACTCAGGGAGACTCAGGGTGTAGAGACTCACAGAGACTCAGGGTGTAGAGACTCAGGGTGTAGAGACTCACAGAGACTCACAGAGACACAGGGTGTAGAGACTCACAGAGACTCACAGAGACTCACAGAGACTCAGGGTCTAGAGACTCAGGGTGTAGAGACTCACAGAGACTCACAGAGACTCACAGAGACTCAGGGTCTAGAGACTCACAGAGACTCACAGAGACTCACAAAGACTCACAGAGACTCACAGAGACTCACAGAGATTCAGGGTGTGGAGACTAACAGAGACTCACAGAGACTCAGGGTGTAGAGACTCGGGGTGTAGAGACTCGGGGTGTAGAGACTCACAGAGACTCACAGAGACTCACAGAGACTCGGGGTGTAGAGACTCACAGAGACTCACAGAGACTCACAGAGACTCAGGGAGACTCAGGGTGTAGAGACTCAGTGTGTAGAGACTCAGTGTGTAGAGACTCACAGAGACTCACAGAGACTCACAGAGACTCGGGGTGTAGAGACTCACAGAGACTCATAGAGACTCAGGGTGTAGTGACTCACAGTGACTCACAGAGACTCAGGGTGTAGAGACTCAGGGTGTAGAGACTCAGGGTGTAGAGACTCACAGAGACTCACAGAGACTCACAGAGACTCACAGAGACTCACAGAGACTCAGGACGAGCAGGAGAAGCAGCTGGCTGGGTTCAAGGAGAAGCAGGCGATGGAGAGGAAACAGGTGAGTGGGAGACTCACAGAGACTCACAGAGACTCAGGGAGACTCACAGAGACTCAGCGAGACTCACAGAGACTCAGAGAGACTCAGAGACTCACAGAGACTCACAGAGACTCACAGAGACTCAGGGAGACTCAGGGAAACTCACAGACACTCACAGAGACTCACAGAGACTCAGAGAGACTCAGAGACTCACAGAGACTCACAGAGACTCACAGAGACTCAGGGAAACTCACAGACACTCACAGAGACTCACAGAGACTCACAGAGACTCAGAGACTCACAGAGACTCACAGACACTCACAGAGACTCAGGGTGTAGAGAATCACAGAGACTCACAGAGAATCACAGAGACTCAGGGTGTAGAGACTCACAGAGACTCACAGAGACTCAGGGTGAGCAGGAGAAGCAGCTGGCTGGGTTCAAGGAGAAGCAGGCGATGGAGAGGAAACAGGTGAGTGGGAGACTCAAAGAGACTCACAGAGACTCACAGAGACTCACAGAGACTCAGGGTGTAGAGACTCACAGAGACTCAGGGAGACTCAGGGTGTAGAGACTCAGGGAGACTCACAGAGACTCACAGAGACTCACAGAGACTCGCAGAGACTCACAGAGACTCACGGAGACTCAGGGTGTAGAGACTCACAGAGACTCAGGGTGTAGAGACTCACAGAGACTCAGGGAGACTCAGGGTGTAGAGACTCAGGGAGACTCACAGAGACTCGCAGAGACTCGCAGAGACTCACAGAGACTCACAGAGACTCACAGAGACTCAGGTTGTAGAGACTCACAGAGACTCACAGAGACTCGCAGAGACTCACAGAGACTCAGGGTGTAGAGACTCACAGAGACTCACAGAGACTAACAGAGACTCAGGGTGTAGAGACTCACAGAGACTCACAGAGACTCAGGGTGTAGAGACTCACAGAGACTCACAGAGACTCAGGGTGTAGAGACTCACAGAGACTCAGGGAGACTCAGGGTGTAGAGCCACACAGAGACTCAGGGTGTAGAGACTCAGGGTGTAGAGACTCACAGAGACTCACAGAGACACAGGGTGTAGAGACTCACAGAGACTCACAGAGACTCACAGAGACTCAGGGTCTAGAGACTCAGGGTGTAGAGACTCACAGAGACTCACAGAGACTCACGGAGACTCAGGGTCTAGAGACTCACAGAGACTCACAGAGACTCACAAAGACTCACAGAGACTCACAGAGACTCACAGAGATTCAGGGTGTGGAGACTAACAGAGACTCACAGAGACTCAGGGTGTAGAGACTCGGGGTGTAGAGACTCGGGGTGTAGAGACTCAGGGTGTAGAGACTCACAGAGACTCACAGAGACTCACAGAGACTCGGGGTGTAGAGACTCACAGAGACTCACAGAGACTCACAGAGACTCAGGGAGACTCAGTGTGTAGAGACTCAGTGTGTAGAGACTCACAGAGACTCACAGAGACTCACAGAGACTCGGGGTGTAGAGACTCACAGAGACTCACAGAGACTCACAGAGACTCAGGGTGTAGTGACTCACAGTGACTCACAGAGACTCAGGGTGTAGAGACTCAGGGTGTAGAGACTCAGGGTGTAGAGACTCACAGAGACTCACAGAGACTCACAGAGACTCAGGGAGACTCACAGAGACTCACAGAGACGCAGGGTGTAGAGACTCACAGAGACTCACAGAGACTCAGGGTGTAGAGACTCACAGAGACTCACAGAGACTCACAGAGACTCAGGGGGTAGAGACTCACAGAGACTCACAGAGACTCAGGGAGACTCAGGGTGTAGAGACTCAGTGTGTAGAGACTCAGGGTCTAGAGACTCACAGAGACTCACAGAGACTCACAGAGACTCAGGGTGTAGAGACTCACAGAGACTCACAGAGACTCAGGGTCTAGAGACTCAGGGTGCAGAGACTCACAGAGACTCACAGAGACTCACAGTGACTCACAGAGACTCACAGAGACTCACAGAGACTCAGGGTCTAGAGACTCACAGAGACTCACAGAGACTCACAAAGACTCACAGAGACTCACAGAGACTCACAGAGACTCAGGGTCTAGAGACTCACAGAGACTCACAGAGACTCACAAAGACTCACAGAGACTCACAGAGACTCACAGAGACTCAGGGTCTAGAGACTCACAGAGACTCACAGAGACTCAGGGTGTAGAGCCTCAGGGTGTAGAGACTCACAGAGACTCATAGAGACTCAGTGTGTAGAGACTCAGGGTCTAGAGACTCACAGAGACTCACAGAGACTCACAGAGACTCGGGGTGTAGAGACTCACAGAGACTCACAGAGACTCAGGGTGTAGAGACTCACAGAGACTCACAGAGACTCACAGAGACTCAGGACGAGCAGGAGAAGCAGCTGGCTGGGTTCAAGGAGAAGCAGGCGATGGAGAGGAAACAGGTGAGTGGGAGACTCACAGAGACTCACAGAGACTCACAGAGACTCACAGAGACTCAGGGTCTAGAGACTCACAGAGACTCACAGAGACTCAGGGTGTAGAGACTCACAGAGACTCACAGAGACTCAGGGAGACTCACAGAGACTCACAGAGACTCACAGAGACTCAGGGTGTAGAGACTCACAGAGACTCACAGAGACTCAGGGAGACTCAGGGAGACTCACAGAGACTCACAGAGACTCACAGAGACTCAGGGTGTAGAGACTCACAGAGACTCACAGAGACTCACAGAGACTCAGGGTCTAGAGACTCACAGAGACTCACAGAGACTCACAAAGACTCACAGAGACTCACAGAGACTCACAGAGATTCAGGGTGTGGAGACTCACAGAGACTCACAGAGACTCGGGGTGTAGAGACTCAGGGTGTAGAGACTCAGGGTGTAGAGACTCACAGAGACTCACAGAGACTCACAGAGATTCAGGGTGTGGAGACTCACAGAGACTCACAGAGACTCGGGGTGTAGAGACTCAGGGTGTAGAGACTCAGGGTGTAGAGACTCGGGGTGTAGAGACTCACAGAGACTCACAGAGACTCACAGACACTCAGGGAGACTCAGGGTGTAGAGACTCAGTGTGTAGAGACTCAGTGTGTAGAGACTCAGGGTCTAGAGACTCACAGAGACTCACAGAGACTCGGGGTGTAGAGACTCACAGAGACTCACAGAGACTCAGGGTCTAGAGACTCACAGAGACTCACAGAGACTCACAGAGACTCACAGAGACTCATAGAGACTCACAGAGACTCAGGGTGTAGAGACTCACAGAGACTCAGGGTGTAGAGACTCACAGAGACTCGCAGAGACTCAGGGAGACTCACAGAGACTCACAGAGACGCAGGGTGTAGAGACTCACAGAGACTCACAGAGACTCAGTGTGCAGAGACTCACAGAGACTCACAGAGACTCAGGGCGTAGAGACTCACAGAGACTCACAGAGACTCACAGAGACTCAGGGGGTAGAGACTCACAGAGACTCACAGAGACTCAGGGTGTAGAGACTCAGGGTCTGGAGACTCACAGAGACTCAGGGTGTAGAGACTCACAGAGACTCACAGAGACTCACAGAGACTCAGGGTCTAGAGACTCAGGGTGCAGAGACTCACAGAGACTCACAGAGACTCAGGGTGTAGAGACTCGGGGTGTAGAGACTCAGTGTGTAGAGACTCACAGAGACTCAGGGTGTAGAGACTCACAGAGACTCAGGGTGTAGAGACTCGGGGTGTAGAGACTCACAGAGACTCACAGAGACTCAGGGTGTAGAGACTCACAGAGACTCACAGAGACTCAGGGTGTAGAGACTCACAGAGACTCACAGAGACTCACAGAGACTCAGGGTGTAGACACTCAGGATCTGGTGGATGCTGGCTGACCAACTATAACCACTCCCCACTCCCCACCACCACCCCCCCACCACCCCCCCACCACCACCCCCCCACCACCACCCCCCACCTCGTCGACCATCCCCCACCCCCCTGCAGAAGAAGGCCGATATCCAGAGGATAACTTTGAAGGAGGAGCGGAAAATTTTGCAGAAGAAGGTGATGGAGGAGCTCGATCAGAAGCAAGCGGCCCAGGTGGGTGTGGGCACGTGAAGGGTCACAGCACCGAGGTTGAACACGCAGGAATCGATAACCGATAATCACAATGTGTATTGATGTAGTTCAGGAAGTAATCTGATGATCTATAAAGCGCTTGAGGCAGTCTTAAAACTACAACACATCCCGTGTCTCTCCCCCCGTGTCTCTCTCTCTCTCTCTCCCCGTGTCTCTCTCCCCGTGTCTCTCTCTCCCCATGTCTCTCTCTCTCCCCGTGTCTCTCTCTCTCCCCATGTCTCTCTCTCTCCCCGTGTCTCTCTCTCCCCGTGTCTCTCTCTCCCCGTGTCTCTCTCTCCCCGTGTCGCTCTCTCCCCGTGTCTCTCTCCCCATGTCTCTCTCTCTCCCCGTGTCTCTCTCTCTCCCCGTGTCTCTCTCTGCCCATGTGTCTCTCTCCCCCCGTGTCTCTCTCCCCGTGTCTCTCTCTCTGACCCCCGTCTCTCTCTCTCTCTCTTTGACCCCGTGTCTCTCTCTGACCCCGTGTCTCTCTCTCCCCGTGTCTCTCTCTCTCCCCGTGTCTCTCTCCCCATGTCTCTCTCCCCGTGTCTCTCTCTCTCCCCGTGTCTCTCTCTCTCTCTGTGTCTCTCTCCCCGTGTCTCTCTCTCCCCGTGTCTCTCTCCCCGTGTCTCTCTCTCTCTGACCCCCGTGTCTCTCTCTCCCCCCGTGTCTCTCTCTCCCCGTGTCTCTCTCTCCCCATGTGTCTCTCTCTCCCCATGTGTCTCTCTCTCCCCGTGTCTCTCTCTCCCCGTGTCTCTCTCTCTCCCCCTGTGTCTCTCTCTCTCCCCCGTGTCTCTCTCTCTCTCCCCCGTGTCTCTCTCTCTCCCCCCGTGTCTCTCTCTCCCGTCTCTCTCTCTCTCTGACCCCCGTGTCTCTCTCTCCCCCCGTGTCTCTCTCCCCCCGTGTCTCTGACCCCCGTGTCTCGCTCTCTCTCTCTATCTCCCCGTGTCTCTCTCTCCCCGTGTCTCTCTCTCCCCATGTGTCTCTCTCTCCCCGTGTGTCTCTCTCTCCCCGTGTCTCTCTCTCCCCCCGTGTCTCTCTCTCCCCGTGTCTCTCTCTCCCCATGTGTCTCTCTCTCCCCGTGTGTCTCTCTCTCCCCGTGTCTCTCTCCCCGTGTCTCTCTCCCCGTGTCTCTCTCTCTGACCCCCGTGTCTCTCTCTGTCTCTCTCTGACCCCGTGTCTCTCTCTGACCCAGTGTTTCTCTCTCTCTCTCCCCCCGTGTCTCTCTCTCTCTGACCCCCGTGTCTCTCTCTCTCTGACCCCGTGTCTCTCTCTGACCCGGTGTCTCTCTCTCCCCGTGTCTCTCTCTCTCCCCGTGTCTCTCTCCCCGTGTCTCTCTCTCCCCGTGTCTCTCTATCTCCCCGTGTCTCTCTCCCCATGTCTCTCTTTCTCCCCGTGTCTCTCTCTCCCCGTGTCTCTCTCTCTCTCTCCCCGTGTCTCTCTCTCTCTCTGTGTCTCTCTCTCTCCCCGTGTCTCTCTCTCCATGTCTCTCTCTCTCTCTCTGACCTCCGTCTCTCTCTCTCCCGTGTCTCTCTCTCCCCGTGTCTCTCTCTCCCCGTGTCTCTCTCTCTCTATATCTCCCCGTGTCTCTCTCCCCGTGTCTCTCTCTCTCTCTCTCTCTCCCCGTGTCTCTCTCTCCCCCCGTGTCTCTCTCCCCATGTGTCTCTCTCTCCCCGTGTCACTCTCTCCCCGTGTCTCTCTCTCTCCCCGTGTCTCTCTCCCCGTGTCTCTCTCTCTGACCCCCGTGTCTCTCTCTCCCCGTGTCTCTCTCCCCCCGTGTCTCTGCCCCCCGTCTCTCTCTCTCTCTATCTCCCCATGTCTCTCTCCCCGTGTCTCTCTCTCCCCCCGTGTCTCTCTCTCCCCGTGTCTCTCTCTCCCCCCGTGTCTCTCTCTCCCCATGTCTCTCTCTCCCCATGTGTCTCTCTCCCCATGTGTCTCTATCTCCCCGTGTCTCTCTCTCCCCGTGTCTCTCTCCCCGTGTCTCTCTCTCTCCCCGTGTCTCTCTCTCCCCCCGTGTCTCTCTCTCCCCGTGTCTCTCTCTCCCCATGTGTCTCTGTCCCCCCATGTGTCTCTATCTCCCCGTGTCTCTCTCCCCGTGTCTCTCTCTCCCCCCGTCTCTCTCTCCCCATGTGTCTCTCTCCCCCCGTGTCTCTCTCCCCGTGTCTCTCTCCCCCCGTGTCTCTCTCTCTGACCCCCGTCTCTCTCTCTCTCTCTCTGACCCCGTGTCTCTCTCTGACCCCGTGTCTCTCTCTCCCCGTGTCTCTCTCTCTCCCCGTGTCTCTCTCCTCGTGTCTCTCTCTCTCTCCCCATGTCTCTCTCTCTCCCCGTGTCTCTCTCTCCCCGTGTCTCTCTCTCTGTGTCTCTCTCTCTCCCCCCGTGTCTCTCTCTCTCTGACCCCCGTGTCTCTCTCTGACCCCCGTGTCTCTCTCTCTCCCCTTGTCTCTCTCCCCGTGTCTCTCTCCCCGTGTCTCTCTCTCTCCCCGTGTCTCTCTCTCCCCGTGTCTCTCTCTCTCTCACCGTGTCTCTCTCTCTCTGTGTGTCTCTCTCTCTCCCCGTGTCTCTCTCTCCCCGTGTCTCTCTCCCCGTGTCTCTCTCTCTCCCCCCGTGTCTCTCTCTCACCGTGTCTCTCTCTCCCCCCGTGTCTCTCTCTCCCCGTGTCTCTCTCTCCCCATGTGTCTCTCTCCCCCCGTGTCTCTCTCTCCCCATGTGTCTCTATCTCCCCGTGTCTCTCTCTCCCCGTGTCTCTCTCTCCCCCCGTGTGTCTCTCTCCCCGTGTCTCTCTCTCCCCCCGTGTCTCTCTCTCCCCGTGTCTCTCTCTCCCCGTGTCTCTCTCTCCCCATGTGTCTCTATCTCCCCGTGTCTCTCTCCCCGTGTCTCTCTCCCCGTGTCTCTCTCTCCCCCCGTGTCTCTCTCTCCCCGTGTCTCTCTCTCCCCATGTGTCTCTCTCCCCCCGTGGCTCTCTCCCCGTGTCTCTCTCCCCCCGTGTCTCTCTCTCTGACCCCCGTCTCTCTCTCTCTCTCTGACCCCGTGTCTCTCTCTGACCCCGTGTCTCTCTCTCCCCGTGTCTCTCTCTCTCCCCGTGTCTCTCTCTCTCCCCATGTCTCTCTCTCTCTCCCCGTGTCTCTCTCTCTCCCCGTGTCTCTCTCTCTGTGTCTCTCTCTCTCCCCCCGTGTCTCTCTCTCTGACCCCCGTGTCTCTCTCTGACCCCCGTGCCTCTCTCTCTCCCCTTGTCTCTCTCCCCGTGTCTCTCTCCCCGTGTCTCTCTCTCTCTCCCCGTGTCTCTCTCTCTCTCACCGTGTCTCTCTCTCTGTGTGTCTCTCTCTCTCTCCCCGTGTCTCTCTCTCCCCGTGTCTCTCTCCCCGTGTCTCTCTCTCTCTCCCCGTGTCTCTCTTTCTCCCCGTCTCTCTCTCTCTATCTCCCCGTGTCTCTCTCCCCATGTCTCTCTCTCTCTCTGACCCCCGTGTCTCTCTCTCTCCCGTGTCTCTCTCTCTCCCCCCGTGTCTCTCTCTCCCGTCTCTCTCTCTCTCTCTGACCCCCGTGTCTCTCTCTCTCCCGTGTCTCTCTCTCTCCCCCCGTGTCTCTCTCTCCTCTCTCTCTCTCTCTGACCCCCGTGTCTCTCTGACCCCCGTGTCTCTCTCTCTCCCGTGTCTCTCTCTCTCCCCCCGTGTCTCTCTCTGACCCCCGTGTCTCTCTCCCTCTGACCCTCGTGTCTCTCTCTCCCCCCGTGTCTCTCTCTCCCCCCGTGTCTCTCTCTCTCCCCCCGTGTCTCTCTCTCCCGTCTCTCTCTCTCTCTCTGACCCCCGTGTCTCTCTCTCTCTCTCTATCTCCCCGTGTCTCTCTCTCTCCCCGTGTCTCTCTCTGACCATCGTGTCTCTCTCTCTCCCCGTGTCTCTCTCTCCCCGTGTCTCTCTCTGACCCCCGTGTCTCTCTCTCTGTGTCTCTCTCTCTCTCCCCGTGTCTCTCTCCCCCCGTGTCTCTCTCCCCGTGTCTCTCTCTCTCTCTCCCCCCGTGTCTCTCTCTCCCCCCGTGTCTCTCTCTCCCCCCGTGTCTCTCTCTATCTCTCTCCCTGTCCGACCCCCGAGCAGGAGCGTGTCTTCGTGGAGAATCAGAAGGGGACCCTGGACGCGCTCCTTCGCCAGGCGATTTCCACGCACGTGGAGCGCCTGGGTCAGATGGAGACGGACGGTCTGCAGGCCAAGCAGCTCTTCCGCAGGGGTGAGGTCCCACACCCCCCCTCCACCACCGCCACGTCCACAGTAACGGTGAGGGTTGTGGTGAACCGCGTTGAAGATGCCAAGAGGTTGGAGGCGCTCCAATTCTTTTTTGTATTTTCCCCACCTTGATGGAATCCAAAACGTCGTCCGTTTTTGCTTTTGAAATTGCCGCTTTTTTGTGTGTGTGTGTGCGTTTAAAACCCATCCCCACCGTTGGGTGCTCGTCGGATAATAATTCGGCCGGGCGAAACGTGAGGCGCGGGAGAAAGCAATCGTCACGTGACGGATGACTCGTCGCCACGTTCGCCATCGCAAGGCGCAGCACAGAGAAGCCCTTTCGGTGAAGTCGCCACCACGTTGAAGGGAAACAATAAAGTAATAGAAATAATAATATATGTGTGTGAAAGACGATAAAAAAAAGTCTCGCGACGTTTCGACCATAACGTCAAACGGTTATCATCGTCATCAGGTGATGATGGTGACCTATTCTTCGGTAAAGTCACCACGTTGAAGGGAAACAATAAAGTAATAATATATATATGAAACAATACAAAATTATCACGACGTTTCGACCATAACATCAAACGGTCATCATCGTCATCAGGTGATGATGATGACCTATTCTTAGCTCTTTCGGTAAAGTCACCACGTTGAAGGGAAACAATAATATATAAAGCGATACAAAATTCTCACGACGTTTCGACCATAACGTCAAATGGTCATCATCATCAGGTGATGGTGACCTATTCTTAGCCCTTTCGGTGAAGTCGCCACCACGTTGAAGGGAAACAATAAAGTAATAGAAATAATAATATGTGTGTGAAAGACGATAAAAAAAAGTCTCGCGACGTTTCGACCATAACGTCAAACGGTCATCGTCATCAGGTGATGATGGTGACCTATTCTTAGCTCTTTCGGTAAAGTCACCACGTTGAAGGGAAACAATAAAATAATAAAATATATATGAAACAATACAAAATTCTCACGACGTTTCGACCATAACGTCAAATGGTCATCATCATCAGGTGATGGTGACCTATTCTTAGCTCTTTCGGTGAAGTCGCCACCACGTTGAAGGGAAACAATAAAGTAATAGAAATAATAATATGTGTGTGAAAGACGATAAAAAAATTCTCGCGACGTTTCGACCATAAGGTCAAACGGTTATCATCGTCATCAGGTGATGATGGTGACCTATTCTTCGGTAAAGTCACCACGTTGAAGGGAAACAATAAAGTAATAATATATATATGAAACAATACAAAATTATCACGACGTTTCGACCATAACGTCAAATGGTCATCATCGTCATCAGGTGATGATGATGACCTATTCTTAGCTCTTTCGGTAAAGTCACCACGTTGAAGGGAAACAATAATATATAAAGCGATACAAAATTCTCACGACGTTTCGACCATAACGTCAAATGGTCATCATCATCAGGTGATGGTGACCTATTCTTAGCCCTTTCGGTGAAGTCGCCACCACGTTGAAGGGAAACAATAAAGTAATAGAAATAATAATATGTGTGTGTGAAAGACGATAAAAAAAAGTCTCGCGACGTTTCGACCATAAGGTCAAACGGTTATCATCGTCATCAGGTGATGATGATGGTGACCTATTCTTAGCTCTTTCGGTAAAGTCACCACGTTGAAGGGAAATAATAAATATATATAAAACGATAAAAAATTCTCGCGACATTTCGACCATAACGTCAAACGGTCACCATCATCAGGTGATGATGATGGTGACCTAATCTTAGCTCTTTCGGTAAAGTCACCACGTTGAAGGGAAACAATAAAATAATACAAATATATATGAAACAATACAAAATTCTCTCGACATTTCGACCATAACGTCAAACGGTCATCATCATCAGGTGATGATGGTGACCTATTCTTCGGTAAAGTCACCACGTTGAAGGGAAACAATAAAGTAATAATATATATATGAAACAATACAAAATTATCACGACGTTTCGACCATAACATCAAACGGTCATCATCGTCATCAGGTGATGATGATGACCTATTCTTAGCTCTTTCGGTAAAGTCACCACGTTGAAGGGAAACAATAATATATAAAGCGATACAAAATTCTCACGACGTTTCGACCATAACGTCAAATGGTCATCATCATCAGGTGATGGTGACCTATTCTTAGCCCTTTCGGTGAAGTCGCCACCACGTTGAAGGGAAACAATAAAGTAATAGAAATAATAATATGTGTGTGAAAGACGATAAAAAAAAGTCTCGCGACGTTTCGACCATAACGTCAAACGGTCATCATCATCAGGTGATGATGATGATGGTGACCTATTCTTAGCTCTTTCGGTGAAGTCACCACGTTGAAGGGAAACAATAAAGTAATAAATATATATAAAACGATAACAAAATTCTCACGACGTTTCGGCCATAACGCAAACGGTAATCATCATCATCAGGTCATCCACTGGTGTTGAACCAGAAGACGCCACAAGGCGTTACAACTCAACAACAGCACACTATCAGAGTTATTGAGGGCTCGGGGTGGTTAGCATTTACATTATGAGACCTCCTTTGCCAGTAAACAAGATATAGTAATGAGGTTTTTACCCTTTTAACTGGCACAAAAACTGACGCCTTTATTCAAGGCATCGTGTTTGTAATAACTGCAACACAAGCGGTCAAAAATGCAGACAAAAATGTAACAACTCTGATAATATTGGCACTGTCCTTGAATTTGATTGGTCCACACCAGAGACGGCTTTTCTTAGAGCCTAGTCTCCACTGGTGTTGGACCAGAAGACGCCATAAGGCGTTACAACTCAACAACAGCGCACTATCAGAGTTATTGAGGGCTCGGGGTGGTTAGCATTTACATTATGAGACCTCCTTTGCCAGTAAACAAGATATATTAATGAGGTTTTTACCCTTTTAACTGGCACAAAAACTGACGCCTTTATTCAAGGCATCGTGTTTGTAATAACTGCAACACAAGCGGTCAAAAATGCAGACAAAAATGTAATAACTCTGATAATATTCTTAGTTTTTTCGGTAAAGTCACGTTGAAGAGAAACAACAAAATAACAAAATATATATAAAACAATAAAAAATTCTCACGACGTTTCGACCATAACTCAAACGGTCATCATCAGGTGTGTCGGTTTGCATAAATTTATGCATAAATTTATGCATGTCGGTTTGCATAAATTTATGCATAATTTTATGCATAAATTTATGCATAAATTTATGCATAAATTTATGCATAAATTTATGCATAAATAAATTTATGCATAAATTTATTTATGCATAAATTTATGCATAAATTTATTTATGCATAAATTTATTTATGCATAAATTTATGCAAACCGACACACCTGATGATGACCGTTTGAGTTATGGTCGAAACGTCGTGAGAATTTTTATTGTTTTATATATATTTTGTTATTTTGTTGTTTCTCTTCAACGTGACTTTACCGAAAAAACTAAGAATATGAATTACTGCAGTCACGAAAGCTTTAAATCAAAACTCTGATAATATTGGCACTGTCCTTGAATTTGATTGGTCCACACCCGAGACGGCTTTTCTTTAGAGCCCTTTAGTCTCTCCGCTGGTGTTGGACCAGAAGATGCCACAAGGCATACAACTCAAAAACAGCGCCACTATCAGAGTTATTGAGGGCTCGGGGTGAGCATTTACATTATGAGACTTCCTTTGCCAGTAAACAAGATATAGTAATGAGGTTTTTACCCTTTTAACTGGCACAAAAACTGACGCCTTTATTCAAGGCATCGTGTTTGCAATAACCGCAACACAAGCAGTCAAAATGCAAACAAAAAGAGACAACTCTGATGATAATAATATTGGCACTGTCCTTGAATTTGATTGGTCCACACCAGAGACAGCTTTTCTTAGAGCCCTTTAGTCTCTCCGCTGGTGTTGGACCAGAAGACGCCAAAAGGCGTACAACTCAACAACAGCGCACTATCAGATTTATTGAGGGCTCGGGGTGAGCATTTACATTATGAGACCTCCTTTGCCAGTAAACAAGATATAGTAATGAGGTTTTTACCCTTTTAACTGGCACAAAAACTGACACCTTTATTCAAGGCATCGTGTTAGCAGTCAAAATGCAAACAAAAAAGACAACTCTGATAATAATTATATTGGCACTGTCCTTGAATTTGATTGGTCCACACCAGAGATGGCTTTTCTTTAGAGCCCCTTTAGTCTCTCCACTGGTGTTGGACCAGAAGACGCCACAAGGCGTACAACTCAACAACAGCGAACCATCGGAGTTATTGAGGGCTCGGGGTGGTTAGCATTTACATCAAATTCAAGGACAGTGCCACGACGTTGAAGTCTGTGAATCCGGTGAAGACGGTGAATCCGGTGAAGCCGGTGAAGACGGTTGGTGAAGACGGTGAAGCCGGTGAAGCCGGTGAAGACGGTGAAGCCGGTCAAGTCGGTGAAGTCGGTGAAGCCGGTGAAGACGGTCGGTGAAGACGGTCGGTGAAGACGGTGAAGACGGTGAAGCCGGTGAAGACGGTCGGTGAAGACGGTGAAGCCGGTGAAGACGGTGAAGCCGGTGAAGACGGTCGGTGAAGACGGTGAAGCCGGTGAAGACGGTGAAGCCGGTGAAGACGGTCGGTGACGCCGGTGAAGTCGGTGAAGCCGGTGAAGCCGGTGAAGACGGTGAAGTCGGTGTCTGTGTGTGTGTGACTGTGTGTGTGTGTGTCTCTGTGTGACTGTGTGTGTGACTGTGTGTGTGTGTCTGTGTGTGTGTGTCTCTGTGTGACTGTGTGTGTGTGTGTGACTGTGTGTGTGACTGTGTGTGTCTGTGTGTGTGTGTCTGTGTGTGTGTGACTGTGTCTGTGTGTCTCTGTGTGTGTCTCTGTGTGACTGTCTGTGTGTGTGTGTGTCTGTGTGTGTCTGTGTGACTGTGTGTGTGTGTCTGTGTGTGTGTGTGACTGTGTGTGTGTGTGTGTGTCACTGTGTGTGTGTATGTGTGTGTCTGTGTGTGTGTGTGTAACAGAGTTTGAGAGGAGCGTGCTGGAGATGGTCGTGAGACAGCATCAAGAGATGAAACAGCTACTGAAACAACAGCTGTCTGAGCAGCTGCTGCTGTCTCGGCAGCACATGGACAAGAGACACAGCAAGGTGGGGGGACACGGGGGTGGTGGTGGTGGGTGGTGGTGGTGGTGGTGGGTGGTGGTGGTGGTGGTGGGTGGTGGTGGTGGAGGTGGTGGGTGGTGGTGGGGAGAGATAGAGGGACCAGACCAAAGCTCTCTCTCCTCACCACCCTCACCCTCACCACCACCCTCACCACCACCACCACCCTCACCACCACCACCACCCTCACCATCACCACCACCCTCACCACCACCACCACCCTCACCCTCACCACCACCACCACCCCTACAGGAGGTGGAGCAGCTCCAGCGGGCCAGCTCCAGGCTTGTGGACGAGGAGCCCTCACCACCACCCTCACCCTCACCACCACCCTCACCACCACCCTCACCACCACCCTCACCACCCTCACCACCCTCACCACCACCCTCACCACCCTCACCCCTACAGGAGGTGGAGCAGCTCCAGCGGGCCAGCGCCAGGCTTGTGGACGAGGAGCCCTCACCACCACCCTCACCCTCACCACCACCCTCACCACCACCCTCACCACCACCCTCACCACCCTCACCACCCTCACCACCACCCTCACCACCCTCACCCCTACAGGAGGTGGAGCAGCTCCAGCGGGCCAGCGCCAGGCTTGTGGACGAGGAGCGCGCCCGCCAGGGGGCGCTGTCAGCGGCTGCCGCCCGGCGCGGGCGACGGAGCGCCAAGGCGAACGTGACGCGCTTCAAGGACGCCATGCGCCCAGCCGCCATTTTCCACTCCGCCTCCGACAGGGAGAAGCTCAAGCAGGTGGGGTGGTGGTGAGGGTGAGGGTGGTGGTGAGGGTAGTGGTGAGGGTGGTGGTGGTGGTGAGGGTGGTGGTGGTGGTGATGAGGGTGGTGGTGGTGAGGGTGGTGAGGGTGGTGGTGAGGGTGGTGAGGGTGGTGGTGGTGAGGGTGGTGGTGGTGGTGAGGGTGAGGGTGGTGGTGAGGGTGGTGGTGAGGGTGAGGGTGAGGGTGGTGGTGGTGGTGAGGGTGAGGGTGGTGGTGAGGGTGAGGGTGGTGGTGGTGGTGAGGGTGGTGGTGGTGGTGGTGAGGGTGGTGGTGGTGGTGGTGGCTGACGTGAACTGGGGGGAAGAGGAATCTCGCTCTTGAGTGTCTACACCACCTCGTCAGTGTCTGTGTGTGTGTGTTTGAGTCTGTGTGTGTCTATCTGTGTGTGTGTGTCTGTGTGTGTGTCACTGTGTGTGTGTCACTGTGTGTGTGTGTCTTTGAGTCTGTGTGTGTTTGAGTCTGTGTGTCTGTGTGTGTGTGTGTCACTGTGTGTGTGTGTTTGAGTCTGTGTGTCTGTGTGTGTGTGTTTGAGTCTGTGTGTGTTTGAGTCTGTGTGTCTGTGTGTCACTGTGTGTGTGTGTTTGAGTCTGTGTGTCTGTGTGTGTGTGTCACTGTGTGTGTGTGTGTTTGAGTCTGTGTGTGTGTGTGTTTGAGTCTGTGTGTGTTTGAGTCTGTGTGTGTCTATCTGTGTGTGTGTGTCTGTGTGTGTGTCACTGTGTGTGTGTGTTTGAGTCTGTGTGTGTTTGAGTCTGTGTGTCACTGTGTGTGTGTGTGTTTGAGTCTGTGTGTGTTTGAGTCTGTGTGTCTGTGTGTGTGTGTCACTGTGTGTGTGTGTGTTTGAGTCTGTGTGTCTGTGTGTGTGTGTCACTGTGTGTGTGTTTGAGTCTGTGTGTGTGTGTGTTTGAGTCTGTGTGTGTTTGAGTCTGTGTGTGTCTATCTGTGTGTGTGTGTCTGTGTGTGTGTCACTGTGTGTGTGTGTTTGAGTCTGTGTGTGTTTGAGTCTGTGTGTCACTGTGTGTGTGTGTGTTTGAGTCTGTGTGTGTTTGAGTCTGTGTGTCTGTGTGTGTGTGTCACTGTGTGTGTGTGTGTTTGAGTCTGTGTGTCTGTGTGTGTGTGTCACTGTGTGTGTGTTTGAGTCTGTGTGTGTCTATCTGTGTGTGTGTCTGTGTGTGTGTCACTGTGTGTGTGTGTGTGTTTGAGTCTGTGTGTGTTTGAGTCTGTGTGTCTGTGTGTGTGTGTCACTGTGTGTGTGTGTTTGAGTCTGTGTGTCTGTGTGTGTGTGTCACTGTGTGTGTGTTTGAGTCTGTGTGTCTGTGTGTGTGTGTTTGAGTCTGTGTGTGTTTGAGTCTGTGTGTCTGTGTGTCACTGTGTGTGTGTGTTTGAGTCTGTGTGTCTGTGTGTGTGTGTCACTGTGTGTGTGTGTTTGAGTCTGTGTGTGTGTGTGTTTGAGTCTGTGTGTGTTTGAGTCTGTGTGTGTCTATCTGTGTGTGTGTGTCTGTGTGTGTGTCACTGTGTGTGTGTGTTTGAGTCTGTGTGTGTTTGAGTCTGTGTGTCACTGTGTGTGTGTGTGTTTGAGTCTGTGTGTGTTTGAGTCTGTGTGTCTGTGTGTGTGTGTCACTGTGTGTGTGTGTGTTTGAGTCTGTGTGTCTGTGTGTGTGTGTGTCACTGTGTGTGTGTGTTTGAGTCTGTGTGTGTCTATCTGTGTGTGTGTGTCTGTGTGTGTGTCACTGTGTGTGTGTGTTTGAGTCTGTGTGTCTGTGTGTGTGTGTTTGAGTCTGTGTGTGTTTGAGTCTGTGTGTCTGTGTGTGTGTGTCACTGTGTGTGTGTGTGTTTGAGTCTGTGTGTCTGTGTGTGTGTGTGTGTCACTGTGTGTGTGTGTTTGAGTCTGTGTGTGTTTGAGTTTGTGTGTCTGTGTGTGTGTGTGTCACTGTGTGTGTGTGTGTTTGAGTCTGTGTGTCTGTGTGTGTGTGTCACTGTGTGTGTTTGAGTCTGTGTGTCTGTGTGTGTGTGTGTTTGAGTCTGTGTGTGTTTGAGTCTGTGTGTCTGTGTGTGTGTGTGTCACTGTGTGTGTGTGTTTGAGTCTGTGTGTGTGTGTGTCACTGTGTGTGTGTGTTTGAGTCTGTGTCTGTGTGTGTGTGTTTGAGTCTGTGTGTGTTTGAGTCTGTGTGTCTGTGTGTGTGTCACTGTGTGTGTGTGTGTTTGAGTCTGTGTGTCTGTGTGTGTGTGTGTCACTGTGTGTGTGTGTTTGAGTCTGTGTGTCTGTGTGTCACTGTGTGTGTGTTTGAGTCTGTGTGTCTGTGTGTGTGTGTGTCACTGTGTGTGTGTGTTTGAGTCTGTGTGTCTGTGTGTGTGTGTCACTGTGTGTGTGTGTTTGAGTCTGTGTGTCTGTGTGTGTGTGTGTCACTGTGTGTGTTTGAGTCTGTGTGTCTGTGTGTCACTGTGTGTGTGTGTTTGAGTCTGTGTGTCTGTGTGTGTGTGTGTTTGAGTCTGTGTGTCTGTGTGTCTGTGTCTGTGTGTGTGTATGTGTGTGACTGTGTGTGTGTCTGTGTGTGTGTCTGTGTGTCTGTGTGTGTCTGTGTCACTGTGTGTGTGTCTGTCACTGTGTGTGTCTATGTGTGTATCTGTGTGTGTGTCACTGTGTGTGTGTGTCTATCTGTGTGTGTGTCTATCTGTGTGTGTCACTGTGTGTGTTTATCTGTGTGTGTGTCTATCTGTGTGTCTATCTGTATGTGTGTGTCACTGTATGTGTGTGTCTGTGTGTGTGTCTATATGTCTATCTGTGTGTATATGTGTGTGTCTGTGTCTCACTGTGTGTCTATATGTCTATCTGTGTGTCTATCTGTGTGTGTCTCACTGTGTCTCACTGTGTGTCACTGTGTGTCTCACTGTGTGTCACTGTGTGTGTGTCTATATGTCTATCTGTGTGTCTCACTGTGTGTCTATCTGTGTGTGTGTCTATCTGTGTGTCTCACTGTGTGTGTCTCACTGTATGTGTCTCACTGTGTGTCACTGTGTGTGTGTCTCACTGTCTCACTGTGTCTCACTGTGCGTCTCACTGTGTGAATGTGTCTATATGTCTATCTGTGTGTCTCACTGTGTGTCTATCTGTGTGTGTCTATCTGTGTGTGTCTATCCGTGTGTCTCACTGTGTGTCTCTGTGTGTCTCACTGTGTGTGTCTTACTGTATGTGTCTCACTGTGTGTCACTGTGTGTGTGTCTCACTGTGTGTCTCACTGTGTCTCACTGTGTGTCTCACTGTGTGTGTCTCACTGTGTGTCACTGTGTGTGTGTCTCACTGTGTGTGTCTCACTGTGTGTCTGTGTGTCTGTGTGTGTGTCTCACTGTGTGTGTCTCACTGTGTGTGTGTCTCACTGTGTGTCTGTCTATGTGTGTCTGTGTGTGTGTCTCACTGTGTCTCACTGTGTGTCTCACTGTGTCTCACTGTGTGTCTCACTGTGTCTCACTGTGTGTCTCACTGTGTGTCACTGTGTGTGTCTCACTGTGTGTCTCACTGTGTGTGTCTCACTGTGTGTCTGTGTGTCTGTGTGTGTGTGTCTCACTGTGTGTGTCTCACTGTGTGTGTGTCTCACAGTGTGTGTGTCTCACAGTGTGTGTGTGTCTCACTGTGTGTCTGTGTGTGTCTATGTGTGTCTGTGTGTGTGTCTCACTGTGTCCCACTGTGTGTCTCACTGTGTGTCTATGTGTGTCTGTGTGTGTGTCTCACTGTGTGTCTATCTATGTGTCTCACTGTGTGTGTCTCACTGTGTGTGTGTCTCTGTGTGTCTCACTATGTGTCTATCTGTGTGTGTGTCTCTGTGTGTCTCACTGTGTGTGTGTCTCACTGTGTGTCTATCTGTGTGTGTGTCTCACTGTGTGTCTATCTATGTGTCTCACTGTGTGTGTGTCTCTGTGTGTCTCACTGTGTGTGTCTCACTGTGTGTCAGACTGTGTGTCTATGTGTGTCTATGTGTGTCTGTGTGTGTCTCACTGTGTCTATCTATGTGTCTCACTGTGTGTCTATGTGTGTCTGTGTGTTTCACTGTGTGTGTCTCACTGTGTCTCACTGTGTGTGTCTCACTGTGTGTCTCACTGTGTGTGTGTCACTGTGTGTGTGTCTCACTGTGTCTCACTGTGTCTCACTATGTATGTGTCTCACTGTGTGTGTCTCACTGTGTGTCTCACTGTGTGTGTGTCACTGTGTGTGTCTCACTGTGTCTCACTGTGTATGTGTCTCACTGTGTGTGTGTCTCACTGTGTCTCACTGTGTGTCTCACTGTGTGTCTATGTGTGTCTGTGTGTGTCTCACTGTGTGTCTATCTATGTGTCTCACTGTGTGTCTATCTATGTGTCTCACTGTGTGTGTCTATGTGTCTCACTGTGTGTGTCTCACTGTGTGTCTATCTATGTGTCTCACTGTGTGTTCTCACTGTGTGTGTCTCACTGTGTGTCTATGTGTGTCTCACTGTGTGTGTCTCACTGTGTGTGTCTCACTGTGTGTCTCACTGTGTGTCTCTGTGTGTCTATGTCTGTGTGTCTCACTGTGTGTGTCTCACTGTGTGTCTCACTGTGCCCGCCAGTTTATCCAGGCGGAGAAGGATCGCCAGCGGTCTGAGCGCGAGGACTTCCAGCGCCAGCAAGAGGCCCAACTCGAGGCACTGCTGCAGCAGAACGAGCAGAGCATGGCGGAGCTGATGCAGTTACACGTGGGTAGTGGTAGTGGTGGTGGTGATAGTGGTGGTGGTGATACACGTGGGTGGTGATGGTGGTGATAGTGGTGGTGGTGGTGGTGATAGTGGTGGTGATAGTGGTGGTGATAGTGGTGGTGATAGTGGTGATGTTACACGTGGGTAGTGGTGGTGATGGTGGTGATAGTGGTGGTGGTGGTGATGTTACACGTGGGTAGTGGTGGTGGTGATGGTGATAGTGGTGGTGGTGATGGTGATAGTGGTGGTGATGTTACACGTGGGTAGTGGTGGTGATGGTGATAGTGGTGGTGGTGATGTTACACGTGGGTAGTGGTGGTGGTGGTGATAGTGGTGGTGGTGATACACGTGGGTAGTGGTGGTGGTGATGGTGATAGTGGTGGTGGTGGTGATACACGTGGGTAGTGGTGGTGGTGATGATGGTGGTGTTACACGTGGGTAGTGGTGTTGGTGGTGATGGTGGTGTTACACGTGGGTAGTGGTGGTGGTGATGGTGGTGGTGATACACGTGGGTAGTGGTGGTGGTGGTGATGGTGGTGCAGTTACACGTGGGTAGTGGTGGTGATGGTGGTGATAGTGGTGGTGCAGTTACACGTGGGTAGTGGTGGTGGTGTTGTTACACGTGGGTGGTGATGGTGGTGGTGGTGTTACACGTGGGTAGTGGTGGTGATGGTGGTGGTAGTGGTGGTGATGATACACGTGGGTAGTGGTGGTGATGGTGATGTTACACGTGGGTAGTGGTAGTGGTGATGGTGGTGGTTTTACACGTGGGTTGGGGTTGATAGTGGTGGTGATGGTGGTGGTGTTACACGTGGGTAGTGGTGGTGGTGGTGATGATGGTGATAGTGGTGGTGGTGGTGCAGTTACACGTGGGTAGTGGTAGTGGTGATGTTACACGTGGGTAGTGGTGGTGGTGATAGTGGTGGGGCAGTTACACGTGGGTAGTGGTGGTGATGGTGGTGTTACACGTGGGTAGTGGTGGTGATGGTGGTGATAGTGGTGGTGGTGGTGCAGTTACACGTGGGTAGTGGTGGTGATGGTGGTGTTACACGTGGGTAGTGGTGGTGATGGTGGTGTTACACGTGGGTAGTGGTGGTGATGATGGTGATAGTGGTGGTGGTGGTGCAGTTACACGTGGGTAGTGGTAGTGGTGGTGATAGTGGTGGTGCAGTTACACGTGGGTAGTGGTGGTGATGGTGGTGTTACACGTGGGTAGTGGTGATGGTGCAGTTACACGTGGGTAGTGGTGGTGATGGTAGTGGTGATGTTACACGTGGGTAGTGGTGGTGATGGTGGTGTTACACGTGGGTAGTGGTGATGGTGCAGTTACACGTGGGTAGTGGTGGTGATGGTAGTGGTGATGTTACACGTGGGTAGTGGTGGTGATGGTAGTGGTGATGTTACACGTGGGTAGTGGTGGTGATGGTAGTGGTGATGTTACACGTGGGTAGTGGTGCTGGTGGTGAGGGTGGTGGTGGGTTGGTTGGTGGTAGCTGTACCAGCAGAACACTGTCACTCCTCATGCCCCCCACCACTGCCCCCCACCACCACTGCCCCCCCCCACCACAGAGGGATAAGTCCGAGCTGCTGAGAGAGTCAGAGTCGTGCCGTGTACAGAGCCTGGAGCAGCAGCAGCAGCAGCTGATGGTGGAGGTGGGGGAGCGTGGCTCATTCATGAAGCAGGTACCCACTCAGCTACCTACCACTCAGCTACCACTCACACACACCACTCAGCTACCTAACACTCACCTACCACTCAGCTACCACTCACATACCACTCAGCTAGCTACCACTCACACATACCACTCAGCTACCTACCACTCACATACCTACCACTCACACATGCCACTCAGCTACCTACCACTCACCTAACACTCACCTACCTACCACTCAGCTACCACTCACACATACTACTCACCTACCTACCACTCACACATACCACTCAGCCACCTACCACTCAGCTACCACCACTCACACAAACCACTCACCTACCTACCACTCACATACCTACCACTCAGCTACCTGCCACTCACACATACCACTCACCTACCACTCACACATACCACTCAGCTACCACTCACACATACCACTCACCTACCACTCACCTACCTACCACTCACACATACCACTCAGCTACCTACCACTCACACATACCACTCACACATACCACTCAGCTACCACTCACACATACCACTCAGCTACCAACCACTCACACATACCAATCACCTACCACTCAGCCACCTACCACTCACATACCTACCACTCACACATACCACTCACCTACCACTCACACATACCACTCAGCTATCACTCACCTACCTACCACTCACACATACCACTCACCTACCACTCAGCTACCACTCACCTACACCACTCACACATAACACTCAGCTACCAACCACTCACACATACCACTCACACACCACTCAGCTACCTACCACTCCCATACCACTCACATACCTACCACTCACACATACCACTCAGCCACCTACCACTCACATACCACTCAGCTACTACTCACCCTGTCTCACATACTGTGTCACCCTGTACTGTGTCACCCTGTCTCACTGTGTCACCCTGTCTCACTGTGTCACCCTGTGCTGTGTCACCCTGTCTCACTGTGTCACCCTGTCTCACTGTGTCACCCTGTGCTGTGTCACCCTGTCTCACTGTGTCACCCTGTGCTGTGTCACCCTGTCTCACGTCCTGTGTCACCCTGTCTCACTGTGTCACCCTGTCTCACTGTGTCACCCTGTACTGTGTCACCCTGTCACACGTGCTGTGTCACCCTGTCTCACTGTGTCACCCTGTCTCACCCTGTCTCACTGTGTCACCCTGTCACACGTGCTGTGTCACCCTGTCACACGTGCTGTGTCACCCTGTACTGTGTCACCCTGTCTCACTGTGTCACCCTGTCTCACGTACTGTGTCACCCTGTACTGTGTCACCCTGTCTCAATGTGTCACCCTGTACTGTGTCACCCTGTTTCACTGTGTCACCCTGTCTCACTGTGTCACCCTGTACTGTGTCACCCTGTACTGTGTCACCCTGTCACACTGTGTCACCCTGTCACACTGTGTCACCCTGTCTCACGTACTGTCACCCTGTGTCACCCTGTCTCACTGTGTCACCCTGTACTGTGTCACCCTGTCTCACTGTGTCACCCTGTCTCACGTACTGTCTCACCCTGTACTGTGTCACCCTGTCTCATGCACTGTGTCACCCTGTACTGTGTCACCCTGTCTCACTGTGTCACCCTGTACTGTGTCACCCTGTCTCACTGTGTCACCCTGTACTGTGTCACCCTGTCTCACTGTGTCACCCTGTCTCACTGTGTCACCCTGTCTGACGTACTGTGTCACCCTGTCTCACTGTGTCACCCTGTCTCACTGTGTCACCCTGTCTCACTGTGTCACCCTGTCTCACTGTGTCACCCTGTACTGTGTCACCCTGTCTCACTGTGTCACCCTGTCTCACTGTGTCACCCTGTCTCACTGTGTCACCCTGTCTGACGTACTGTGTCACCCTGTACTGTGTCACCCTGTCTCACTGTGTCATCCTGTCTCACTGTGTCACCCTGTACTGTGTCACCCTGTCTCACTGTGTCACCCTGTACTGTGTCACCCTGTCTCACTGTGTCACCCTGTACTGTGTCACCCTGTCTGTGTCACCCTGTCTCACGTGCTGTGTCACCCTGTCTCACTGTGTCACCCTGTACTGTGTCACCCTGTCTCACTGTGTCACCCTGTCTCACGTGCTGTGTCACCCTGTCTCACTGTGTCACCCTGTCTCACTGTCTCACTCTGTCTCACTGTCTCACCCTGTCTCACTGTGTCACCCTGTCTCACTGTGTCACCCTGTCTCACTGTGTCACCCTGTCTCACTGTGTCACCCTGTCTCACTGTGTCACCCTGTCTCACTGTGTCACCCTATCTCACTGTGTCACCCTGTCTCACTGTGTCACCCTGTACTGTGTCACCCTGTCTCACGTGCTGTGTCACCCTGTCTCACTGTGTCACCCTGTCTCACTGTGTCACCCTGTCTCACCCTGTCTCACTGTCACCCTGTCTCACTGTCACCCTGTCTCACTGTGTCACCCTGTCTCACTGTCTCACTGTGTCACCCTGTCTCACGTACTGTGTCACCCTGTCTCACTGTGTCACCCTGTCTCACGTACTGTGTCACCCTGTCTCACGTCCTGTGTCACCCTGTCTCACGCGCTGTGTCACCCTGTGCTGTGTCACCCTGTCTCACTGTGTCACCCTGTACTGTGTCACCCTGTACTGTGTCACCCTGTCTCACGCACTGTCACCCTGTCTCACGCGCTGTGGCTGAGTGAGTGAATGAGCGAGCAGCTGAGTGAGTGTATGAGTGTGTGAGTCAGTGGCTGAGTCAGTGGCTGAGTCAGTGGCTGAGTCAGTGGCTGAGTCAGTGGCTGAGTCAGTGGCTGAGTCAGTGGCTGAGTGAGTGTATGCGTGAGCGAGCGGCTGCGTGAGTGGCTGAGCGAGTGGCTAAGTGAGTGAGTGAGTGTATGAGTGAGTGTGTGAGTCAGTGGCTGAGTCAGTGGCTGAGTCAGTGGCTGAGTGAGTGAGTGGCTGCGTGAGTGAGTGGCTGAGTGAGTGAGTGGCTGAGTGAGTGGCTGAGTGAGTGGCTGAGTGATTGAGTGTGCTAGTGTGTGTGGCCACTTCCCCCCTGAGAGCGCTGCTGTAGAGGCTACACGTGGGATCTTTGTCCGTGCAGGTGATGGAAAACGAATTGGCTCAGGAGAGCCAGGAGCTGCAGCAGAAGATCTCGCGAGAGTTGGAGGCCGCCCATCAGCACCCCTCCATCCCCAAGCGCGTGCTGGCCATGCTGCTCCAGTAGCAGCATCAGCAGCATCATCAGCTGCATCATCATCACCATCAACACCACGACTGCCACCATCATCACCACTGCCACCACCATCGCCACCACCACTACCATCACTGCCACCACCGCCATCATCATCATCACTGCCACCATCACCACTCCCATCACCGCCATAACCATCATGCTCGCTCACCCACTCGCTCACCCACTCGCTCACCCACTCGCTCACTCGCTCACCCACTCGCTCACTCACTCACTCACCCGCTCACTCACCCACCCCCCACCCGCCCGCTCACTCACTCACTCACCCGCCCACTAACCCGCCCACTAACCCACCCACCCACTCACTAACCCACCCACTCACTAACCCACCCACTCACTAACCCACCCACTCACCCACCCACCACCCACCAACCCACCCACCACTAACCAACCCACCCACCCACCCACTAACCAACTCACTCACTCATTCATCCACTCACCAACTCACTCACTCACCACCTCACTCACTCACTCACCCACCCACTCTCACCCACCCACTCACTCACCTACCCACTCACGCAATTACCGATGGCTGCTGCTTAAGATTTTTTTCGTCTAAAGTGAATACCTATTTTATCACGTGACCATTATTTGGGGAGGGATTGGAAAATATAAATAAAGGCGGTACAGTTAATATGACCTGTGTGTGAGTGGCTGGGTGAGTGTGTGATTAGGTGGGTGAGTAGGTGGGTGAGTAGGTGTGTGAGTAGGTGGGTGAGTGTGTGATTAGGTGGGTGAGTGGGTGTGTGAGTGGCTGGGTGAGTGTGTGAGTAGGTGGGTGGGTGAGTGTGTGAGTAGGTGGGTGAGTGGGTGTGCGAGTGGATGGGTGGGTGGGCGGTGGAGTGGGTGAGTGAGCAGGTGGGTGAGTGAGCGGATGGGTGGGTGAGTGAGCAGGTGGGTGAGTGAGTGGGTTGGTAAGTGAGTGAGTGGGTGGGTGGGTGAGTGGGCAGATGGGTGAGTGAGTGGGTTGGTAAGTGAGTGGGTGGGTGAGTGGGCAGATGGGTGGGTGAGTGAGTGGGCGGGTGGGTGGGTGAGTGAGTGGGTGGGTGAGTGAGTGGGCGGGTGAGTGAGTGGGTGGGCGGGTGAGTGAGTGGGTGGGCGGGTGAGTGAGTGGGTGGGTGAGTGGGTGGGTGGGTGAGTGGGTGGGTGAGTGGGAAAGTGACATCGCCATCTGGTGTGAGCAGCTCACCCACTCACCAACCCACCCACCCCCCCACTCAGCTACCCACTCACCAACCCACCCCCCCACTCAGCTACCCACTCACCAACCCACCCACCCACTCCGCTACCCACTCACCCACTCACCAACCCACCCACCCCCCCACTCAGCTACCCACTCACCCTCCCACGTGAGCGACCGGCATGGTGAAGTATGGTCAGACACCCCCACTCCCTCCCCCGCCTCACAGCGCACAAGCAGAGAGGCGGTGGGAGAGGCTCATGGGAAAGTCGCTGATTCACACCGCTACAGCAACAGCAGCAGAAACAACAGCAGCAGGCTTACCACTACAACAACAACAGCATTAACAACAGCAGGCTTACCACTGCTACAACAACAGCAGCAGGCCTACCGCTACTACAACAGCAGCATTAACAACAGCAGGCTTACCACTACAACAACAACAACAGCAGGCCTACCGCTACTACAACAGCAGCAGAAACAACAGCAGGCTTACCACTACAACAACAACAGCAGGACTACTGCTACTACAACAGCAGGCTTACCACTACAACAGCAGCAGCATTAACAACAGCAGCAGCATTAACAACAACAGCAGCAGGCTTACCACTACTACAGCAGGCTTACCACTACTACGACAAAAACAGCACGCTAACTACAACAGCACGCTAACTACAACTGCAGGCTAACTACAACAGCAGGCTTACCACAACAGCAGCCGTTCAGAACAAGCGCGTGGGTGGGTGAGTGGCTGGGTGAGTGGATGGGGGAGTGGGTGGGTGAGTGGGTGGGTGGGTGAGTGGGTGGGTGGGTGAGTGGGTGGGAGAGTGGGTGGGTGAGTGGGTGGGTGGGTGAGTGGGTGGGTGGGTGGGTGAGTGGGTGGGGGAGTGGGTGGGTGAGTGGGTGGGTGGGTGAGTGGGTGGGTGGGTGAGTGGGTGGGGGAGTGGGGGAGTGGGTGGGTGAGTGGGGGAGTGAGTGGGTGAGTGGGTGGGGGAGTGGGTGGGTGAGTGGGTGGGGGAGTGGGTGAGTGAGTGGGTGAGTGGGTGGGTGAGTGAGTGGGTGGGTGAGTGGGTGAGTGAGTGGGTGAGTGGGTGGGTGAGTGGGTGAGTGGGCAGATGGGTGGGTGAGTGAGTGGGTGGGTGAGTGAGTGGGCGGGTGAGTGGGCGGGTGAGTGAGTGAGTGGGCGGGGGAGTGAGTGAGTGAGTGGAAAAGTGACATCGCCATCTGGTGTGAGCAGCTCACCCACTCACCAACCCACCCACCCCCACCCAGCTACCCACTCAGCTACCCACTCACCAACCCACCCACCCACTCAGCTACCCACTCACCAACCCACCCACCCCCACTCAGCTACCCACTCCCCAACCCACCCACCCCCACCCCCCCACTCAGCTACCCACTCACCCACTCACCAACCCACCCACCCCCCACTCAGCTACCCACTCACCCACTCACCAACCCACCCACCCCCCACTCAGCTACCCACTCACCCACTCACCAACCCACCCACCCCCCACTCAGCTACCCACTCACCCACTCACCAACCCACCCACCCCCCACTCAGCTACCCACTCACCCACTCACCAACCCACCCACCCCCCACTCAGCTACCCACTCACCCACTCACCAACCCACCCACCCCCACCCAGCTACCCACTCACCCACTCACCAACCCACCCACCCCCCACTCAGCTACCCACTCACCCACTCACCAACCCACCCACCCCAACCCAGCTACCCACTCACCCACTCACCAACCCACCCACCCACTCAGCTACCCACTCACCAACCCACCCACCCCCCCACTCAGCTACCCACTCACCCTCCCACGTGAGCGACCGGCATGGTGAAGTATGGTCAGACACCCCCACTCCCTCCCCCGCCTCACAGCGCACAAGCAGAGAGGCGGTGGGAGAGGCTCATGGGAAAGTCGCTGATTCACACCGCTACAACAGCAACAGCAGCAGAAACAACAGCAGGCTTACCACTACAACAACAGCAGCAGGCTTACCACTACAACAGCAGCAGCATTAACAACAGCAGGCTTACCACTACTACAGCAGGCTTACCACTACAACAACAGCAGCATTAACAACAGCAGGCTTATCACTACTACAGCAGGCTTACCACTACAACAACAACAACAGCAGGCTTACCACTACAACAACAGCAGCATTAACAACAGCAGGCTTACCACTACTACAGCAGGCTTACCACTACAACAACAACAGCAGGCTTACCACTACAACAACAGCAGGCTTACCACTACAACAACAGCAGGCTTAACACTACAACAACAACAGCAGGCCTACCGCTACTACAACAACAGCAGGCTTACCACTACAACAACAACAACAGCATTAACAACAGGCTTACCACTACAACAACAACAGCAGGCTTACCACTGCTACAACAACAACAGCAGGCCTACCGCTACTACAACAGCAGCATTAACAACAGCAGGCTTACCACTACTACAGCAGGCTTACCACTACAACAACAACAGCAGGCTTACCACTACAACAACAGCAGCATTAACAACAGCAGGCTTACCACTACTACAGCAGGCTTACCACTACAACAACAGCAGGCTTACCACTACAACAGCAGGCTTACCACTACAACAACAGCAGGCTTAACACTACAACAACAACAGCAGGCCTACCGCTACTACAACAACAGCAGGCTTACCACTACAACAACAACAGCATTAACAACAACAGGCTTACCACTACAACAACAACAGCAGGTTTACCACTGCTACAACAACAACAGCAGGCCTACCGCTACTACAACAGCAGCATTAACAACAGCAGGCTTACCACTACAACAACAACAGCAGGCCTACCGCTACTACAACAGCAGCAGAAACAACAGCAGGCTTACCACTACAACAACAACAGCAGGCCTACTGCTACTACAACAGCAGGCTTACCACTACAACAGCAGGCTTACCACTACAACAGCAGCAGCATTAACAACAGCAGCATTAACAACAACAGCAGCAGGCTTACCACTACTACAGCAGGCTTACCACTACTACGACAAAAACAGCACGCTAACTACAACAGCACGCTAACTACAACAGCAGGCTTACCACAACAGCAGCCGTTCAGAACAAGCGCGTGGGTGGGTGAGTGGGTTGGGGAGTGGGTGGGTGAGTGGGTGGGTGGGTGGGTGAGTGGGTGGGTGGGTGGGGGAGTGGGTGGGTGAGTGGGTGGGTGGGTGGGGGAGTGGGTGGGTGAGTGGGTGGGTGGGTGGGGGAGTGGGTGGGTGAGTGGGTGGGTGGGTGGGGGAGTGGGTGGGTGAGTGGGTGGGTGGGTGGGGGAGTGGGTGGGTGAGTGGGTGGGTGAGTGGGTGGGTGGGTGAGTGAGTGGGGGAGTGAGTGGGTGGGTGGTTGAGTGGGTGGGGGAGTGGGTGGGTGAGTAGGTGGGTGAGTGGGGGAGTGGGTGGGTGAGTGGGTGGGGGAGTGGGTGGGTGAGCGGGTGAGTGAGTGCGTTAGTTGGTGAGTGAGTTGGTGAGTGAGTGGGTGGGGGAGTGGGTGAGTGAGTGGGTGGGGGAGTGGGTGAGTGAGTGAGTGCGTTAGTTGGTGAGTGAGTGAGTGGGTGAGTGAGTGGGTGAGTGGGTGAGCGAGTGAGTGAGTGGGTGGGTGAGTGGGTGAGCGGGTGAGCGAGTGCGTTAGTTGGTGAGTGAGTGAGTTAGTGAGTGAGTGAGTGGGTGGGTGAGTGGGTGGGTGAGTGGGTGGGTGAGTGGGTGAGCGGGTGAGTGGGTGGGTGAATGGGTGGGTGAGTGGGTGAGTGAGTGGGTGGGTGAATGAGTGGGTGGGTGAATGAGTGGGTGGGTGGGTGAGTGGGTGAGTGAGTGGGTGGGTGAATGAGTGGGTGGGTGGATGAATTGGTGGGTGAGGGGATGGGTGGGTGAGTGGATAGGTAAGTGGATGGGTGAGTGGGTGGATAAGTGGATGGGTGAGTG